AAGTCCCAGTCTCTTTAGCCTCTCTTCATATGGGACCTGTTCCCAACCCCTGATCATTTTAGTTGCCCTCCCCTCTCCTAGCCTCTCTCTTCCCCTCTCCCACCTCCTTTTCCCAGTCTCCCCCAGTTTTGTTCAATAAAGACAGATTCCATTTTGGAAGACACGTTATCTTTATTTTGTACATCAAGAAGAGGGGCTAGGGAAGGGTAAGTGGAAGGAGGTGAGTGAGGAATGGGGCACTAGCCCCTGATGGGGAGGACTGGGCTGGCTCTGGTTGCTTCTGGGGGTAGAAGCTCTCCTGCAGCCCTCCAATTGCCCCCTCTCCCCAGATGGCAGCCTGCGGCAAGTGCAGCCAGGCTGATGGCCGAGTGCTGTGATGTGCCCAGTGTGGGCACTCAGGGCATTCCAAGCCAAGACTGCTTTGCAAGCGGGGCACCCCTGAGAACTGTCTGTCCAGGGTGCGGGTCGGGTCCCTTTAAGCACAGTCCTCGGCTAGCCTGAGGCAGCATCTCCACGCTCTAAGTCCTCATCTGATGCCCTGCCGGCACTGCTTCCGGCCATCCTTAACCCCACTTCAGGGTCCACTTAATGTGGACACGCTAGTTCGAATTAGCAAAATGCTAATTCGAACTAGTTTTTAGTTCTAGATGCATTAGTTCGAATTAGCGCTGTAGTGTAGACATACCCTCTGACACTAGTCTCTGGGAAGCAATGTCATGCTGTAATGTTACATTCACCTCACGCAGAAAATGTGTTCCCCAAAGTTACACAGCACAGCTGTTATCACTTTCATGTCACTCTGACTAGTTACACGTCTCTCTACATATCACTGGGATCCAACCCACCGGTTTGTCCCGGGTCCTTAGTGTGAGGGAATGGTCCTGCTATTATGGGGAGCAATTCTGGCTTCCGCTGTATGCTGGAGGAAGTAGCTAGAAAAAGCGTTCGAGTCCCCACCCTCACTCCCTTAACCCACAGGCCTTCCTCTGTTCAAGGACTCTCCTTCCATTCTTTCATGTGGCAGAGCCCTTGTAATGGTGGCATGGCTGGGCCAAGGAACCCTGGGGGATCTGAACCTCCAATCTCATTGTGGTCACTTAACACAGAGCTACGGTGTTCCTACTTTGGGGTACCCTCACCACATTCAGCGAAACTCAAATATAATTTTTTAACCAGCCTTGGTAAAAAGAAACAAAGACAACAAGGGAACTGCTCAAAGAAACAAGGACTCCCGCTCTGCGCACCTAGGAGACAGCACCAAGCACCATGTCTGGGATTTCAGGAACAGTCCCACTTTTTTCAATCACATATCCAGGGCCTCCTGCCCAGGCCCTGGCTGGTGTGTTGTGATACCGCAGAGAAGCCACCTGTTCTGGTGGCGGCCGCAAGCCCTCAGGCTCTTATCAAATTCAGCTGGGAAACCAAACTACAAGCTACAGCCTTGCTAGAGGGTAGTGAGAGTAATGAATGAGCAAAATGACTTAGGAAAGTTAGATGTCAGCAAGTCACCAGGTCAGTTTGTCATAGTGGACCACAAGTTGAATATGAGTCAACAGTGTGATGCTGTTGCAAAAAAAGCAAATATGATTCTAGGTTGTATCAACAGGTGTGTTGTAAGCAAAACTCGTGAAGTCATCCTGCCGCTCTACTCTGCACTAGTTAGGCCTCAACTGGAGTACTGTGTCCAGTTCTGGGCGCCACATTTCAAGAAAGATGTGGAGAAATTGGAAAGGGTACAGAGAAGAGCGACAAGAATGATTAAAGGTCTAGAGAACATGACCTATGAAGCCAGGCTTCATGAACTAGGCTTGTTTAGTTTGGAAAAAAGAAGATTAAGGGGGGACATGATAGCGGTTTTCAAATATCTAAAAGGGTGTCACAAGGAGGAAGGAGAAAATTTGTTCCTCTTGGTTACTGAGGACAGGACAAGGAGTAATGAGCTTAAAGTGCAGCAGGGGAGGTTTAGATTGGACATTAAGAAAAAATTCCTAACTGTCAGGGTGGTCAAATATTGGAATAAATTGCCAAGGGAGGTGGTGGAATCTCCCTCTCTGGACATTAGGAAAAAATTCGATGACCTCTCGAGGTCCCTTCCAGTCCTATTATTCTATGATTCTATGATTCTATGAAAAAAGCCATGTTCCCTGAAGTCTTTGTCCTCAGCAGCACCCATGTGTTCAAGAACTGCAACCCCAAACTGCTCTACTTCCTAGTCCTGAGTATGAGACCAGTCAATTTGGGGTTGCTCCTCCAACTGTCCAAGGTCTCTGCAAACTAATGGCAAAAATGAGATCTCAGCCAAGCTAGGTCATGCAGGGCTGAGCCCAGTAGAAGGACTTAGTACTGCAAGCAATTCATTCATCAGGACATTTGGTGGCAATCTCTGTTTCACCTCTTTCAAACACTCCACCATGAACTCTTGGAATCTACTTTTAACATCTTCAGCAATGTGAATGGTTAGTGTGTGTTAAGAACATAAGAACGGCCATACTGGGTCAGACCAACGGCCCATCCAGCCCGGTATCCTGTCTGCCAACAGTGGCCAATGCCAGATGCCCAGACAGAGGGAACACAACGGGTAACCATCACGTGATCCCTCCACTGTCACCCACCTCCATGAATCTATCTAGTTCTTTTTTGAACCTTGTTAAAGTCCTAGTCTTCACCACATCCTCAGGCAAGGAGCTCCACAGTGTTTTGAAAGTTCCAGCTGAAAAGTGACTGTTTTAGTCAAAAGTTACCTCATTTTTCGTGTTTTGAAAGTTCCAGCTGAAAAGTGAGTTTTAGTCAGAAGTTACCTCATTTTTCCAGCTGAAAAGTGATTATATTCAGAAATTTACCACACTTTTGCAGTTTAAAAGAGACTGTAGTCAGGAATTTACCTCAACAATGACGGCCATCATTTAATATAGCAGTCCCGTTCTTGAAAATACAGTTTCACAAGTCTCACAAACATGCCCTAGGACAGTGATTCCCAACCTTTTTCCCATGGAGGAACTCCTAAAATAATTTTTCATATCCTGAGGAACCTCTACCTATGAAAATGTTTGCTTGGCCCGAAAAAGTTGACAGCGGGGAGCGCAATTCAATTACTGCTAAACTATTGTCAAGAAAATTTATTTGTAAAGAGCTGTTATATATATACGTCAGCTTACATTGTAAGAAAAAAAAGTATTTATTCCACGATTTCTCGCAGAACTCCTGACGATGGTCTGTGGAACCCCGGGGTCCCACAGAACCCTGGTTGGGAAACACTGCCGTAGGAGAATATCTTCATGCTCCAGACTTCCTGATGGATTGGAAATAGTAAAAATCAGGGAATTTGACTCACTGGTTGACTGTATGTGTAATAAAGAAGGTCAGCAATGTGGTTTCCTTGTCTGTGGCTGAATGAAAATGTAGCATCTGTTCATTGGACTGATCAAGTCACTCTGTTGGTCTGGAAGTCATGGAAAGGCTGAGTGACGAGGTGTGTGGGACTAGGAATTAAGAGATGATAGTGAAAAATGTCAGGCATTGGTGACAAAGCAAGAACTCAGGAATTCAGCAATGCTGGTTCATGGAGTGACTTGACATGAAATATGAGGAATTTCTCAGTTTGTGAACTTTCACAGTGCTGAGCTCAGCCAAACCGGGACAGAGGACCCTGGATTATTAAGGAGATATCCTTTCTCCCTCTTGTTGCACAAATTTAAAATATAAGCAGCCATTGCCAATCACCCTTTGCATGTGTATTTTCCCACTTTCTCACGAAGCTCTTTTGTTTTGACTCCATAAATGATAGGGTTGAGCATGGGGGGGAAGAGGTAGAAGAGGTTGGCCAAGATGATATGAACATGGGGAGCGACGCTCTGACCAAACCGGTGTGTGAGAGTGGAGAAGAAGAAGAGAGTAAAAGACATCACCATCACACAGATGTGGGCAGTGCAGGTGTTGAGGGCTTTCTGGTGGGCTTTCCTGGAGGAGATTCTGAGGACGGCCCTGAGGATCAGACCATAGGACAGCACAACCAGCATCAGATCTAACCCAATAACCACAAACGCCATCACCAAGCCGTACATCCTGTTGACCGTGGTGTCCCCACACGATATCTTTGCCACAGCTATGTGCTCGCAGTACGTGTGGGGGATAATGTGGTTGGCACAGAATGGCTGCCGGCTCATCAGCACAGGCAGGGGCAGAACGAAGAGAACAGATCTCACCAAACCTGCAACTCCCAGCTTCCCAATCCGGGTGTTGGTGAGGATGGTGGCATAGTTCAGAGGGTAACATATGGCAATGTAGCGATCAAAGGCCATCGTCACAAGGACGGCTGACTGCATCAGAGAAACTGCATGAAGGAAAAACATTTGGGTGAGGCAGCCAGCCATAGTAATGTCTTTCATATTGAACCAAAAAATACACAGGGCCTTCGGCACAACGGAGGTAGAGATGCCGATGTCGGTGAGCGCCAACATGCAGAGCAGCAGGTACATCGGCTGATGCAGGCTCTGCTCTTTGCCTACCAAAAACAGAACTGTGATGTTTCCCAAAAGTCCAACAGTATAGACAGTAGAGAAAGGGATGGCAATCCATATGTAGTCAGCTTCCAGGCCAGGGATGCCCATGAGGATGAATGATAAAGAGTCAGAGGGGGTGAAGTTGAAAGCCGCCATGAAGTGTTTGATGCGTCAATGAGGCTCAGAAATGCTCAATATGCCTGTGAAGGGAGAGAAGCAGAGTGGGGGGGAGGGTTACTCACTGTATAACAAATGGGCATAGGAAACATTGCAATTATTGCCGATCTAGAAGGTTTAGTGAGGTTACAACATTTAGGAACGGCACCAGATTCTTTGGGACCTAGTCAAGTGCAAAGAAGTCCTCAATGGCAAATAATCTGCCAAGCTAATGAGTAGCATGATGACAGATGAACTTTGATATCAATAACTTCCTATTGGAGGGAAAATCTTGAACTTCTCACAGCCCTAACATGGTTAAGAACATAAGAACAGCCATATTGGGTCAGACCAACGGTCAATCCAGCCCAGTGTCCTGTCTGCCGATAGAGGCCAATACCAGATGCCCCAGAGGGAGGGAGCACGCCATGTAATCCTCACATGATCCCTCCCCTGTCACTCAACTCCAGAGAAACAGAAGCTAGGGACACCATTCCTACCCATCCTGGCTAATAGCCATTGATGGACCTAACCTCCATTAATCTATCTAGCTCTTTTTTGAACCCTGTTAAAGTCCTAGCCTTCACCACATCCTCTGGGAAGGAGTTCCAGAGGTTCTAATTCATCAGTATGAACTCAGTTTGTGCTTAATAGGATAGACATGTAGGACACAAGGGTCTTCATATTTATGGCCTGCATCTCTGTTGGTTCTCTTGGTTTTTTGGGGTGAGGCACTTTCTTTCAGGCACCCAGCTTTGTCTGAGGCAGAACGTACAAATGTAAACCAACAAGCTGTAAGGGAGAGAAGTTAATATTACTTCTATATTTGGCACTGGTACGATGGAATCCAGTTCACAGTTAACCCGTGGAACTCCTTACCACTGGATGTTGTGAAGACCAGGGTTTTAACAGGGTTCAAAAAGAAACTAGATAAATTCATGGAGGATTGATCCATCGATATTTATTAGCCAGGATGTGTAGGGATGGTGTCCCTAGCCTATGTTTGTCAGATTCTGGAAATGGGTGACAGGAGAGGGATCACATGACACCGGGCTTTGGCCACTGTCGGACGACAGGATACTGGCCTAGACGGTCCTTTGGTCTGACCCAGTCTGTCCGTTCTTGTGTTCTAGAGCCCACGATTCAAGATGGATGTTGATACACTGTCAAAGGTTGAGAGAAGAGTGACAAGAATTAGTAAAAACTCAATCTATCACTTCAATAAAAACGCTTAAGGAGTGTCTTAATAGCAGTATCTACTCTGGGAAACCTATCTTTAATAATGGGCTTTTCAGCCCAGCATACAGAGCTGTAACGAGAGCCAATGGCTGGAAGTGGAAGTTAAAGAAATTCCAACTGGATATAAGGGACTCATTTTTAAATGGCCAGAGTAGTTAACCATTGGAACAATGTATCAAGGGTCTTGGAACCTGAGGGTATGTCTACACTAGCCCCCTAGTTTGAACTAGGGAGGCTAATGTAGGCATTCGAAGTTGCAAATGAAGCCCGGGATTTAATATCCCGGGCTTTATTTGCATCTTTCCGTCGGGGTGCCATTTTTAAATCCCCTTAGTCTGAACTAACTGCCCACAGCTACACGCGGCAGTCAAACGTTAACTCAAACTAAATTCTTAGTTTGAGTTAACTGTTACACCTCGCGGAATGAGGTGTTTTGCTACACCGGATTTTTTCTGTTCACGTGTGGGTTGAATCTAGCCCTGTGAGTAGAAATTCCACTGACCGTGTTGCTGTGGAAACGTTAAAATAGGTGGGTGCTGCACGGAGTTGAGGGATCTTGTGACACACTGAATGAATCAACATTTTAAGTGAGGGAAAAATAATGACCTCTGAGTCCTCTGAGCTGAGGAATGAATGTCTAGCCTTCACCACTAATGGCCAAGAAAGCAAATGATCCCGGAGCATCTTCGGTTTTACCCCTGTGTTCCATAAGAACATAAGAACGGCCATACTGGGTCAGACCAAAGGTCTATCCAGCCCAGTACCCTGTCTGCCGACAGTGGCCGATGCCAGGTGCCCCAGAGGGAGTGAATTGAACAGGTAATGATCAAGCGCTCTCTCCTGCCATAAATCTCCACCCTCTGACAAACAGAAGTTGGGGACACCATTCCTTACCCATGACTTAGCCTCCATGAATCTATCTAGTTCTCTTTTGAACCCTGTTATATTCCTAGCCTTCACAGCCTCCTCAGGCAAGGAGTTCCACAGGTTGACTATGCTCTGAGTGAAGAAAAACTTCCTTTTATTTGTTTTAAACCTGCTGCCCATTAGTTTCATTTGGTGCCCCCTAGTTCTTATGTTATGGGAACAAATAAATAACTTTTCCTTATTCACTTTCTTCACATCACTCATGATTTTATAGACCTCTATCATATCCCCCCTTAGTTTCCTGTTTTCCACGTTCAAAAGTCCAGTCTCTTTTATCTCTCCTTATATGGACCTGTTCCAAACCCCAATCATTTTAGTTGCCCTTCTCTGAACCTTTTCTAATGCCAGTATATCTTTTTTGAGATGAGGAGACAACATCTGCACGCAGTATTCCAGATGTGGGCGTACCATGGATTAATATAAGGGAAATAAGATATTCTCTGTCTTATTTTCTATCCCTTTTGTAATTATTCCTAACATCCTGTTTGCTTTTTTTACTCCTGCTGCACACGGCATGGGCGTCTTCAGAGAACTATCCACGATGACTCCAAGAGCTCTTCCCTGATTAGTTGTAGCTAAGTTAGCCTCCATCATCAGGAATCTGTTCCAGGGGCTTACTCTTTCAATCAGCTGCTAGTGACTCCTGCACATGGCAGCTGTATTGAACTAGGCTCTCACATGTCCTAGAGTTGCCTGCTGTCATTATATAATGAGCAAACGTCACAGCTTGTGAGTCGTTCATGTGTTGCTGTCTTTGAATCGCTATGCACTGTATTTATGTGTACAAACAAAAGTCGAATGGGTGCCTCCCTTGGCACTTGCCACTGGCGTGTGAGATTTTTCCACAGGTGAGACACAGTCACGGATCACAGCCTAGGTGTGATGGGAGGCACTTGACCTCGCCCCCTGCCAAGGAAGATTTGTGGGGCGGCTTAGGGACTATGGGAGGCAGGGGTGACTGGGTGGCATGAAGAAGACTCCGATGACCAGCGTGCTGGTGGAATTGGAGCAGCCTGGAAGGGGGAGGAGAGTACGGACAGGGAGCAGGGTGCGATGGGAGATTTTAGCAGCTGAGGAGCAAAGTGTGGCATGTTTCCCCTGGGTTCCACCTGGAACTAAGGTTCCACTAAAACCTCCCACTGATTGTCCTAGGGTCTTCCTTTCAATGTGCTGCTGGGACAAACTGCAGAACCAGTCCTAATGCTGCACCTCCATCAACATTCACTGAGGCAAGGGGACCCCCTGATGCAGTTATAACTTCCACTGACTGGAATTGAATCTGGGTTTATCAATATCCACCATGCTGACAATACTGAGGGGCTGTGTCTACACTGGGCCACTTATTCCGGAAAAGCAGCTGCTTTTCTGGAATAAGCTGCGAGCTGTCTACACTGGCCCCTTGAATTTACGGAAAAGCACTGACGATCTACTGTAAGAAATCAGCTGCTTTTCCGGAAAAACTATGCTGCTCCTGCTCTGGCAAAAGTCCTTTTTCCAGAAAACTGTTCTGGAAAAGGGCCAGTGTAGACAGCACAGTAGTCTTTTCAGCAAAAAAGCCCCGATTGCGAAAATGGCGATCGGGGCTTTTTTCCGGAAAAGCGCATCTACATTGGCCTCGGACGCTTTTCCGGAAAAATGGCTTTTCCGGAAAAGCATCCTGCCAATGTAGACGCTCTTTTTCCAGAAATACTTATAACGGAAAACTGTTCCATTTTAAGCATTTCCGGAAATTCATGCCAGTGTAGACGTAGCCGGAGTGTTTTCGTTTAACTCTAGGGAGCTGCGCCTCAAGCCTGCTTTGCCCAGCTGTTCTTCATCCTCTCACTTTCATTCATTGAATCCTCTGTGCTCCTGTCGATGGCCTTTGCCCACTTTTCATTGAATCCTCTGTGCTCCTGTTGATGGCCTTTGCCCACTGTCGCCATCCGTAACCTGCTGAGATACACCTCCATCTTAACCCTGCCGCACATAGCCGAGATGGGGGCTCATGTCTGTGTTAAGAGTAGTGGAGCTTATTGTATTCCCAGTCCCCTTTCTCCTGAAACGGTACCGATACTGTCAAACTAATGTCCTCTCCCATTCCTAATGTGTGCACCAGGAGGTCATGAAGATGGCTTGCTCGGATATCAGAGTCAACAGCATCTATGGTTTGTTCATAATAGTCTCCCCGATGGGGTTGGACTCCCTGTTCATCCTCCTCTCCTCTGTGATAAGCCTAAGCTGAGAGCCAGCTGGTTTCCCCGAGCTTTTATTTTTCTTGCCTTTTGGTGCTTCTCCTCCTCTCCAGACTCAGAGATACAGGGGCACAGACAGAGCAGAGTTCTCTCCCCCACCTGCAAACAAACCTGCTCTGAACCTCTAAGCCTGAGTTTCAAATTTCAGTAACTCTCCTATTAGTTCTTCTTTAGTCCATAAGGGCTCACCCCTCGTTAGAGGACACGGTGTGACTCCAGTTGAAGTCACTGGAGGTTCATGGCCGGTGTAAATCAGGCCATTTATTTAAGTCTCTACATATGGATTTCGGATGAAATTCCAGCAGTGTCGGGAGTTTTGCCTTTCATCTCAGTGGAACCAGAATCATTCTCAGTGTTTAATTTTCCCACTCCAAGCTGCAGAAAACAGGGCTACAAGTCATGCAAGAGAGAGCGCTCTTCTGTTAGGTTACTGAAAGAAACCCCCAGTTTTCTGTGACGTTCCGAGAACAGGAATGAAAGTTGGGGATTTGACAATATTCAGGTCCTGATTTTGCTCTCAAGGAGACCAGTGTCAATCTGGAGTGACCCACTATGGGAAGAATGGGGGAGCAGAATCTGGACAGTGTGTGACCCTTTCTT